GAAAGCCGCTGCTGAAGCTGAGAAACCGGCATAGACCGGCCAGCGCTTTTGATGGCTAGTCAGTCCCAAGTGAGATATTCTTAATAGATAGCTTGAAATAACTGAATCTGAATATGTAACACAATAATGTGTCATTGTGTGTGTGTGAGCGTGTTGAGTGTGCACATGTTTCAAATGCCTGCGCTGACAAGCCAATAAACGTCACTGCCAAAGCGGATTGGACAAAAAATGCCGTGGGATGTGATGACATCAACTTTGAGATTTATGTTCTTCAACCGGACCAGTTGCATGGAAATGCACTCCAGTCACTCCAGTCTGTGTGTCAGTGACTTCTTCACTTCTGACAAATTAGAGAAAAGTAGGCCACACTGGGATCGCTTCTTGCAAACAATCACCAGAGGAATGCCTGTGCCTAGGCCTAGGCCTTCACGGCAGATGAGACCGATGCTGCCCATTTGGAACACAAAGGCAGTGGGTAAGCTGCAGTTCCGCGGGTCGGCTGCATGACTGCTGAACGGTTCTTTGGTCGCCAACCCGACAAAATGGTGTGAGCTTTCCCCTTCGCTTTGCATGCACATTTGCGGGCCAACACGGCGAGGAACGGAGCATTGCTCCAAATGGATGTGCGCTTCCTGTATGAGCAGCCATACCTGACCAAACTGTTGGCAAATTAGTTGAACAAAACCACAAAAAGCCAAATAAGCGGTCAGGTAAAAGTTGAATCTTCAACCTTGGGCAATATGAACTCCTACATTAGCCAAACAATGGTGTTCTGTCTTGGGAACAGTGATTTTCAACATTGCTTGCAATTGTCATAGACAACTTCGATGAGCTTGTGGCGTTTGCGCAAGGCCTTGAAGACTTTTGTGCGCCACAGCCTGGGATACAAGGCCGGGAGGCGAGATCCGAGATTAAGTGGCTTTTAATTTGCATAAAGACACCCGACAAAAATTTGCAACATAGTTCAGCCAAAAGTCAAACTTGTCTTTGGATTCTCAATGCTTACATACTTCTTCTCCTTGATGAGTTCGTTTGCAAACCACATCGTGTTGTTAGTAATGCAATTGGCAAGCTTGATCACGGGCTTGTCCTTTTTGGTCAACTCTGGAATGCCCTCTGGATACTCGATGGTCCTGCCCAGAGTCAGAGTCGAGGTTGATTTTAGTACGCGCAGGTCATCAAGACTGTTTAAAAAAACAAGTTGAAGTAGGCAAACACTTTCCTGGAACCTGTCCTGACACGGGGGTAGCGCGCTTGAGAGTACGTGTTGCAGGGGGGTGCAAGGTGGCAATACTGCACCTTTTGACTCACTGCCTTTTGCTTGAGGGACATGACAAAGTCTTTGGAAGACATGTCGTGGGTTGAACATTGTTCCAAATCCACCTCTTCTGTAGTCAAATGTTGTTTCCGAATGGCATGGCTCAAGTTGCCACTTCCGGAAAACACCTCCAACACATCGATGGTCTTTGCACATCCACCATTCTTGGTCGCCAACTTGGTAGGGCCACGCATGGTGGGCACACAAGACTTTCCCGTTTCCCCACTCCAGGCAACTGCCTTCATTGCCTTGCCCATTGCCTTGTCGGAGTGATCGGTGTCTATGTCCGAGTCTGAAAGCTCAGAGATCGGTTGGGGCACAGACATTGCTAAACCAGGCCGGCCGGATGTCCTTGAGAGTGAAAATAAATAGTTCGGCATTACAAGCTCAATCCAAAATGCAGGGATGTAGATCACCTGTGTAAACTCTTCTTTTAGGGATGTTAATGCTTATTAACAGATCTTTATTCAAAGACCAGGGAGGCCCAAAAGTAATCAACCCGTCGCGCACTCTTCACACACCAAGTGCCCGCACGATCGCACTGAGTACCTGGGCGGACGGACGGCGGAGAAACAGGTTAAATGCTGTGCAACATGGCCTTGGGATATCGTGAGTGAGATTCAAACTAAATTACATATTAGGAACCTGTATGCTTGACACAATGAAAACGGAAGCTACTTCCAGATGTTATTCCTCCGCCTGCCCTACACCCTACGCTCATCGGATCGCACAGCTCAGGGCCCAGGGCGGTGAGCCATCCTGATCGATGGAATGCATTGAAGGCCTGAGCGCAAAAGTAAACTTAGCAGGTCCGTTGTTAGTCAAACCCGACACCTAGACAAAAGGTGCTCTTTTAGGATTATTATGTTGGACAGGACAGGCTTTGACAGGAAAAGATGGCAGAACTTGAGAACAATCAAGTTGTGTCCTAGTCATGATTCTGTTGCATGGTCTTGTACCGTCCAAATCTAGCCCTAAAGGAAGTTCACCAAAACATAGTATTGAGACGATGCTGTTTCCAGATGGTGTTCTCCTGCCTGGTCAACACTTTATGCTCTCCGGATCGCACAGCTCAGGGCCCAGGGCGGCGAGCCATCCTCATCGATGATGAAGTGCATTGAAGGCCTGAGTGCGGGGGCAACTTAGCAGGTCCATCGCCAGTAAACCAATATATTATATTGGGCAGGTTATGTTTGGAGAGGAAAAAGGAACAATTTTCAGGCCAGAACTGGAGATGTAATAGCAATGTTCTGGTGCATAACCAAGCCCACAAGATTGAAGTCCGATTCAAAAGTTTGACTTTGGACCTAGTAGTATACTTGAAAAAAAAACAGCATCTGGGTCCTAATGAGAAGGAGGTTTCAACAGTGGTTTCAACTGGAGCAGACCACTGTGATCGGGTATGACAGAAACTGCTTCTGGTTGAGACCTCTTTTTCCGAATCGGTGAAACCTGAAAAGGTTGCGTGCTTCAAATATCAGGGACGGGAATGTCCAGCGCTGCTGGCTCTACATCTGAATGTTCATCATCAAGGTCCAAGTCGTAAGCAATTTTCTCCTTGGGAGTCTTACGACCTTTGGATTTGGTGGATTTGGGTAGGCGAGCCCACAAAGACCGGGCAAGCTTCAAAGCATCATCCCAGTTCTGCTGGTCATCTCGAACAAGCTCTGCGGCTGTAGAGTACACAAACTTGGCTTCTTCCGACGCACGAGGCCGTTTTGGCCGTGCGCCAGGCGCATTGCCAACTGTGACATCAGCTGTGCGGACTTCAAAATCCTGTGGAGCAACATTGGAGCATGTGGTTGGAGGCTGGGAGTAAGAATGCGAGCCAGGTCTCTGACAATACGAGACGTCTAGCAATTCCGATGGAGGATTGACTTCCTTGACCCAATCTTTCAAAGCTTGGCTTGCCCTCGTCATATTGAAGGGTCTCTGACCAAGCAACTCAGCATGTTTCATGATCATCTTCACATAGTTTGCACTCTTGGGCAAGCGGGGGCAAACGCCTCAGCTGGCCAGATGGTTCAGGGTTTTTAGGGTATTTCCGCTTTTCCCCGCAACATTGAGCACCTCAAACCCACAGTTGTGTAAAAGGTATTGGCTGGCAACAATAAGTAATTTACTGTAAGTGTCTTTCCGGCAACGGTGAAGGAAGACGGTTGACATGCTCCTTCTGAAGGTACACCAGTTCAGAAGTGTACCTATCCTCACATAGGAAAGGCCGACAGCGCAAAACCACATCTTCAGGCAGCCCTTTGCTCTTCAATGGATGAGAAGGCAGCAATCCTCAGCTGCTGGGCTGTGATCGTGGAAAGGGGACAGGTCTGAAATGAAGCTGACAGAACATTCACCCCCAATCAAAGCTATGAGCTAGGGGCTGGATCATCCCGAAAACAAGCTACAAACTTCAAGCAAGAGTCCTTTGAGTTGCACAAATTCAAACACTTTAGGCGCACGCGGGCCTCCGATGCCCCGCAAATGTCGGTTTAGCAACTGCAGGTGTGTTTTCCAATCACGGACGGTGTCCAATCTGCGAACTATCTTCAATGGCTCATGTGGGCGATCCACGCGTTGCAGGAATTTCTGCAGACAGTCGCTGATGTTGTCGATGGTCTCCGCAAAGCGTAAATGATGCCGTAGGAACGTTGAGGCCTGACCAAATAGTTGATCCAGGTCCTGAATAGCAAACGAATTAAACTTCGTTATTTGGCTGTCCCTTAGGTCAAGCTGCGTAACACTATCGGTCACTCTAGCTTAGTTGAGTTGGAAGACATCTGTCCTCGTGCGTATGGCCGACGCGTAAGAAGAGCACACGAATGCTCTTCACAGCTCCAAGAATAACCATAAGGCCACACAGGGCAAAAATTGTATTGTTCTTGTTGCTGCCTGCAGCGTTGTCCAGGAGTATATGAACCTCCTTCTCCCGTAAATCCACATGCTTGCTCAAAACTGTGAAGATGTGGGCCAACAAGTCAGCAGTGAAAGAAGAACCACGACACGTGTCGGCATGACTCACGGTCAACATGCTGAAGAAGCCATGCACCAAAGTGCCATACACATGTGACCGAGGTCTGACAAATGATTCAAACTCCTTGGCGTCTAGCAAATAGCTTCTAGGCCATGCGTATTTTGATTGATCCATGGCATCGATCGTCAAGCAAATTATGGATGACGTCAATGTTCGACTTGCAGTTCGTAGACTCCAATATCGCTGTCGGTCGCGATATTGGTTCTTCAAGTGAAGGTCGAACAGGTGTCTTTGTTTAAGACGTTGGTTCAAATCGCCGCTCAAAGATCTGATCAACAGCTTGTGCTTTACGCACGTGGAACAAACAGCATGGCTTCGGACCCTGCGAAATTTCAGCATTGGCCAATCATCCCGCCACGTGGACCAAAACAATTTGAATCCACCCTTGCCTCCCAGTTCACGGAACTGACGCCAAGTTTCATACATTGTCCCAGGCGGTAACTTTCGGACCTCTCTCTTGGCACCACTGGCAGGCGGATCTGGAAGATCAAATAATTGGCAATCGGAACCTGAATCTGAATTGGCAGAGGCTCCTGAGTCTGAGTCCGGTAGGGTCTCCGCGACCGATTCGTACAGGCTTTCTAAATATGAGTAAACTTCTCCTCGCAAGGCGGATGGCACATGTTTCACAGCGCATTGCATGTAGCGGGCGCCCAATGGACAGTGTCTCACACCTCTTGACACGGCATCGTAGATCTTTTGGAGGCGTGGTTGCCATCCGACGCTGAAGAGCTTTGCAAAGCACTTCCGGCAAACTTGCCGCCCTAAGAACTTGTAGATCAGTTCACCCGTGAAGCCAACAGGGTCACCTGTTTGTACACTTTCAATATCTAATATGCCCTGCGATGTAGCCAAGTCCCAAAGAGCATCAAATATCTCAGTAGCTCTTGAATCAAAACCCCCATTGGCTAGTCCGCTTATGGGGTCAGGCGCTGAGTTAAACTTGTCTGAAACGCCGCCCATCCCTTAATGTAAATACAAAAAGACAGAACCATTTAGGGCCGTGGCGCTGTTTGGTCTTGGTCCAGTTTGTGCATGGTCTGCCAAGATTCCCTCCATTGAAGGTACTGGTCAAGACCTTCTTCCACAAACCATTGGGCGCACGACAGCTTGCCTTGAAGCGTCTTTTGCGACACCTTGCATGGCTGGCGAAGCCTATTCTCCCATTCTTCCCTCTGCTTCCAATGAGCCCGCTTCCGTGGCTTCGTCTTTGCCACTGGGATCTCACCTAGTAGGCCAAATGTAGCAAAAACTCTGTGCCATCAGACCGTTAAAAGGGTAGAAACTCACGTTCGTGGTTTAAAACGCATAAAAATAAACAACTCGTTTGCTCTTATCATCTTAAGCACGTCCGTCTGATGAGGAATCAGAGAGCTCTTGCTCTGAGTCCGACAGTTCGTTGATTCGATCTAGAACTTCTGGAGCTGGCGGCGCAGGTGCA